GCAGTCCTCAAACTAGCTGAACTGTTCATTCACAGTGTTCTGGGTGTGAAAGGGTGGTTTTCCCTCTACTTGCAGTATAATCAGAAAATGTGGAATTATTGTCAGCTACGTATTTTAAAGCTGTGTTTGTCTTGATCCTAAAAGCCTTGAGAAGTCATGGTTCGTCCCCAGAGGAAGATACTAAAAATATGAAAGAACATAAAATGCCCTAACTTGCGACATACAGCAGTCATATAGAAGATTACAAGTGGATGATTGCATTGGTTTATTGAAATATCTAAAGGGAAAAACAGTATTATGCAATTGTATGCAAATTAACGCCTACTACAGTCACACCATCTGTGAGAGTATATCATGAAACTGAGAATGGATAGCATATAGCTTTATGTGATTTATGTTGTCCACAAGAGCTATTACTCTCTAATTAACGATCCTTGTGCGTGTTTGGGAGTCTCTTCTGTTACAGTCCAGGATTTCTCCTGGAGCTGCAAAGGAATGTTACAGCTGTACCCGAAAGCAGGGGTGGCTCTCAGCACCTCATTGCCGTTACCGCATATCAGAGTACAGCTTTGGACCACCCTTGCAGCCCAGCTCAATTAATATACCATGCAGACTTCAATGAAACCCTACAGGATGCATGTCAGCTTGGGATTTGGCAGTGGTTGCACACAATTATGTTATAGTTGGCTGGTGTGGCCATTTTGGCTGTGGTCATGGGGTTGTATCATTCTCTGTTGACAGTTGGGACTTTGTCAACAAGTGCACACATGTGCAGTGCCTGGGTTGAATGTGTTTAGTGCATAAGGAAATAATTAGCAGAGATGGAAGGTAAAATCATTATCTTTCTGTCTCTGCTTTAATTGCCATTTAATTTTTACATGCACATTTATATGTGTATGTCTGTGTGTATATATATTTATCAGTAAATTTTTTTCAGCAGAAATTAACTGTCAAAATGTCGACTACCTCCAGTTAAGCCAACATTCCCTTTTTCCCACCAGCTCTCTCTTCCGTCTTGCTCTTGTTTTCAACTCCCTCTCTTCCCTTGTTCAGTTCCCGGCCTCCCAGGTCTTTTTTTCCTGTGCATATCCCCTGTGGATGATGAAACATAAAAGAAAAGCAACTGAATAGGCAGAGGGCAAAATACAGTCACTGACCCTGTAATTTGAATACCTTTTGTGTAGCAGTTTGCAGAACATTTTGAACTCATATTCAACTCTGAAAACGATATGAGAAGTGTTTAATAAATGTAAGCCTTGACAGTAGAAAGTCAAGGTTGAAAATGGCTGTGTATTCAGTCAGTGCTAAACTAAGCCTCAGGGTGAACAAATGGGACTGATGCAAATATATTGCATTCCTCCTATGACTTGCACCTCTTCCTCTCCCTGCTGCACTCTAGAAGGAGATGAAAGCCTGCCCATCTTAAAAGGAAAAAAAGAAGGGGAAAAAAAAAAAAAAAGCTGACCTGATTGCTCATTTTTAGAAAGCCACAGATCTTTGGAGGAGAATTGGCCAAATACAAGGTTTATGTCTTTGTCTTCCCATTAACAGTCAAGTTTTCATCCTTAAAACTGCAGACTGGTACATGGAACAGCGTTGTGGCTTCCCTTTCCTTTTAGCATGACACACCTTTTGGTCTGCAAGGACTGTATCCAAAGGTGACATAATAACATAATAGTTCCCTTCACTGACCATTCTCAGCTTTGTTTTTAATGCCATTACTGATTTCTTTAGATGCTTTTGCCATCTGAGTTCTTAATACTGACTGGAAGCCGCTGGCTCAATTAATGCAGCCCGATAAGTAGTTTGCAACAATAATAATTCCTGCTTTTACTGATGTAGTCTTGTTTAGAACTGACAACCCAGAAGTAGGACACTTTGCACGTTTGCAGTTTCTTCTCCAGCTAGTTCTTAGAACAGTCATGGATTTGTTTCATTCTTTTTCCTAAGCTGAGAGGCAGATTCAGGAAAGATTGCCCAATATTTTTGGGACGTTTGCAACTCATTAAAGCTCATTGCCCAATATAATCCTTTGCGTCTAAGGAGAGAGACAATTATACGAAGTTGCTTGGAGATACGTTTTTAGACTGCTGTATCGTGCAAAGTGAGTGAAGAATCCCATCAACCCATGAAATGCTGAACACCATTCAGATAGGAGAAAAACTGCATCTTTATCGTTTTCAGCTTAGAAAAGTGTGAAAAGAGTAGGACCAGATACAATGAAACCTTTTTCATTTTCTTTGTAGCATGGGACAATATCTGGCTTTTTACTTTTTTGTTTAATGGAGTTTAGAATAATTTTCACAAGTTGACCACAATCAGTACAGAAAAGAGTGTATTTTCCCTGAATTAATCAACATACTGATGCAAATTTTGAGTTTTCCAATTTTTATTGAAAACCACAGGCTGGTGCTCCAGGCAGCCTGTAGTGACGTGGAGTTTAAGGGGTGCTGAATTCTGTGTGACATTTCCTTCTGTTAGAGTATTTTGGCAAGAGCTTACTGGCTTTGCAGTGTGTGCCTTTTAAGGCCTCTGATAAATGATTAGGCAGATAGTTTAGCCTATTGTTGCCAGTGGGAGCAAGGCAGTGACTCCAAGAGAAGTGTCCAGCTAATGTATTAATGCCTTAATCCAGACCAATAATATAATGTAGTTTGACATATCTGGCATATGGTTTCTATCATCTCAATATTCTTCTCTATTCCTCCATGACATAATAGACAACTAACCAAAATAAAGAGAAGCAGGAATTTCTTCACCCGTAAAATGTATTTTAAAATGTCCTGTATTTTGTTCCAGCTCTTTGGTTGATTGGATAATGAAGTGATCCTGAAATTCAGTGATTACTTCGCTGTCTGTCTGCAGTATTTTCTTTCAGAATTGCCTGTGGCATTATCTGGGAAAGAAATACTGGTCTCTGTCATTAGAAATACTTGCACAAAATTTGTGATGTGCAAGTGTTTTTGGCTTGCACTGCTAAGCACACATGGGTGCGTGTATTGGGTGTTTGGACCCTTAGTAGCCTGCAGGTATGAGGTGCTGGCTTTTTAGAAATGTGGTTTTAAACCAAAGTGCATTTTGCAAGCTAGAAGTTTTGCAATGGCAAGTAAAGGAAGTGGATTATATCCAGGAGACATTTCAAAAATAAGTAGAATAATGGAGCTTTTTGTACTGTGCTTGCACGTTCATATGCATGTACCCCATTCCGAACAGATTATACATGGAATAGCCAAAATGTATGTCACTGGTTACCTGTGAAAGAGTCTGTGGACTGGGTTTGGTTTCAAGCCCCGTGCAAACTGTGCACTTACGTATCAGCCTAAAAGGAGCCTTTCCCTTCTGTCCTAGGAGGTATAATACAGTGTTGGCTCTCAGCATAGCAGATTACTTGCCTCTTGCTCCCCCATTGGCTCCATTCTGCTATGAGCCCAGTAGCGTAGGCAGAGCCCACCAACACCAGTATGGAAGATACCGAGGGTGTAGTCAGTCCATGGTGGTTATTACAGGTAGGTATGGCTGTATGCACTGAAACCACAAGCTAACTATGTCATTAATTACATTTCCCAATGTTTTCTTGTTAGTTGCATAATAAATCATTAGCAAACACCACAGAAATATCTTTAGAAAAACTGCACACAGTGGGGTTGCAAGCTTACGTAAAGTATAAGGCAAGGCAGTACTTCATGCAAAGTGCACCGATAAAAGTTATGGCCTAAGCTGAAAGGCTTGCTGGTCTGCTGGGGAGGCTATTTGTGGCTAACATTTTGAGTGCTTTAACAGAGCTGTAAAGGGAGGGCTGCCATCTGGCTCTTGTTTTTACTTCAAACTTTATGTTTGCTATCGCTGATAAATTAACTTACTATGCAGTCTTGTACAATCTGTGGCTGTTAACAGTTGTGTGTTATGTCTGTTGTTAGTAAAGAAATGTGGATAGGCACGTATTAGGCAAAGGAAGGGATTTATCCTATCTAAGTTGATGCATGGTTGTATGTTTCTTTCAGGATAAAGAGGCCCAGAAAGACTTAGAGGCTTTACTTCTCACACTGAAGCTGTGATACGACAGACTTTTTAACTCTGCACGCTGTGATAAAATTGCAAAACTGAAATGAGAATCTGTAGTGACTGGGAACTGCGGGTGAATTCCAGCTAAGTCAATGGGAAAACTGTCATTGATTTTAGCTGGCTTGGATTATGGCCTTTAAGCGTCTGGTGATTCTGATACGAAAATGATGCATTCATTTTTGATTATTTATAATCTTGTACTGAAGTTTAATTTTAGATTGCTGACACTGTGAGTCTGATTCTCTGAACATGAAGTCCACTGCTGGCAATGGACATACTGGAGGTCAGAATGCAAAATGCATAAATCTCACTCTTTGGAAGATTAATTGACTAGTATGTGATGCCAGCATAGAACTGTGTGTAGCAAAATCAACCAAACAAAATGTTTCTATAATAAATTGTTTGTATCAACTAATTTATACAGATGTGTACAAAAGAAAATCATGAATGTTTATGTTTACACATTTCTCTACTCTTATAAAATTAGAATCTTGTTGAAGTTAAAGAAAAAGCTTTTGCGTTCACAAAGGTGTTTTTACTTTAAACCTACTGTTGGCTTTACATGGAAATGTGAAAACTTTATAAATTAAATATTAAAGTTATATTTTATTTGTAACATCAAGTACAATATTAAAAATCAGACCAATGAAATTAAGGGGTTTAGATTAATCTGTTACAGCTGTGACGTTTAGTGGATTTGTTACAGGACTTTCACCAAGTTTTTGAATCCTGGCTCTTTCTCTTTGAACAGTCGCCTAGCATGGTGGCATCAGTGTGTCTTCAGAGAACCTAGTCCAGCATGTGACCATCACTGACTTTTTATATCATCTATATGACATAACCTGTACAGAAAAATAGACTAATTAAAGAACTGCTGCTTCTGTCTGAGTGTGTAGGACAGCAATGTTTTCAATAAAATTAATTTTGTTCACCAACAGACTGATCCAGAATTCAGCAAAGTCTATAGAAACATAAAGGCCAGTGTTCGTTGGCGTTTAATTCAGGGTCTTCATCTAGATGTGGGGAGTGTATCTGGAAGAAGTAAGCATTTCTGTTAAAGGAAATACAACTGGATAAGGACAACTGCACGTTCCCTTGACCTATTTGATGTGTAAGATAATATGGACTAGTTTATGGCTAAGACAAGGAGGACTCATATGCCACCAATATATTGAACTAGTGATTGGGGCTTTAATTTTGGACAGATAGGGGACAGTGAAATTAGCAAGTAGGAACTACAGTCACCGCAACGAGGATCTAAAAATTGGGCAGATGTGAAGGAGTATGTAGACATATGACTGAAGCATCTCATAGTAAGAGTGAGCTTTAACTACTAACAACAGAAGGCAATAGATGCAGTAGACTGGAAGAAGACAAATGTGTAGAGTTACATTTGAGTTTAGCCTGACTCCATGACTCCTCATAAAGTATAGAGATTTCTTTTCATAAAGTAGGGCTATCTATTTTTTCAAGTGTTTTCTTTAAAAATACGTATTCAGACCTGAAAACATTACTGCGAGATATCTCTGAACAAAATCTGAAAGTTCAGAACTGATTGTGAGTTCTCGCTGTTATTTTCATGGTTTTAATTATCCTGAAGATCTTCACAAATTGAAATACGCATTTTAGTTGTTTTCAATGTTCATTCTGAAGGAAAATTGTTCCTATACCTCTTTTTCAATTCCAGAGTTTTCTTCTTTTCATACACAATTTCAGAGAAAAGGGGAAATACCATATGAGATAATCCTATCAATAAATTCCTTCTGTAACAGAATAATTGACTTGTGAACAGAGAAGCTGCAGAGGTGACACGTCTTGATTTTGGTAACGGGCTTTTGGTAAGGACTGCTTTTGACATTTTCATAGCCAGTTGCAGGAAGCATAGTTTAAATGGATCTACAAGAGTAACTTGTACTTAGGGTTGTTGTTAGCAATTCACTGTCACCTAGGAAGATGTAATAAGGAGGCCTTTATTTAGATCAATTTTATGCTAATCGATATACTTTATAAAATAGATTGGATTATGCAATCGATATTTCATTTGCAAGCAATTATTGCCGATAAAGGCTGAAAGTGTATCGGAGGAATAGATTAGAACAAGAAGTTATTTAAATTAATTGCTGAAATTAGGTGACATAAGTAAGATTCACTTCATTAAGGGCAAATAGAAAGTATTGAATTGAAGTAAGTAACAGATAGAGGAGGGAGGAGACCTGGCTAATTGTGCTAATTCTGTGGAAAAGGACGTGCAGATTCCAGTAAGCGGCAAGCTAATCATGGGTCAATAATGTAATGTTTTTGTGAAGAAACAAATGTCATACTACACTGAATAAATAAGCATTCCCTATTAAATTCACATGAAATAACCTTTTACTCTAATTAGGCCTAATAAGGTCTAATGAGGTCTAAGCTGGAACACTATATCCAGTTTCAGGCACCACACTTCAAGGAGGTTGGGGGCTAATTGGAAGGAGTCCAGTGGAGAGACACAAGAAAGATGAGAGTGCTAGACAACATCTTTTCTGTGTAAAAATTGAAAGAATTTGGTTTGTTTAGTCTGCAGGAGCAACCACTAAAGGAGTATTCACATTTGTAAAAAGCCATTGTAGAGAAGACAGTAAAAAAACCACCCAAAACCTTGTTCTCCAAATCCCCTGTTCATAGGACAAGAAGTAATTGCCTACCTTTAGATTAGGCATTAGGAGAAAATAATCCTGGTGGTAACTTTGCGAAGCCCTGCAATACATTTCCTGAGAACATTATAGAATCATTTACACAAGTTTTAAAGTAAAAGTTAAACAAAGATGACTTTAAACATTGGCGATGTTTAAGGCACAGTTCATCCTCTGGCAGAGGTTGGACTGGATGACTTCTTAAGATCCCTCCCTGGGGAGTGCACAACCCCAGCCCCTATGAGCCCCGCGTGCTCCTGCTGGGTTTCTGCGGTCGGTGGGATTGTGTCTGCACACGCTGGCTCTGCATTTGGGCCAAGACTACCTAATGGATTTGTATTATGAAACATTTACCAGCATGTTTCAAGACTTGAATTTAAAGATGCGCATCATGGCTGCCCTCGAGTATTTATTTATCTCACCTGTGGTTTTAATCCACATGATTACATTTTCAAATGAAATTTCTGATTTTATAAATGAAATTACTGATCTCTCTTTTCAGCCTTCTGAATTAAGCCCATTCTTCTGTTTTAATTTTTGCTCATTACTAATCTATGTGTAGAATCACAGAATAACATCTGGGAGAGAAAAGGCTGGTCTTAATTATTCATTCCAAGTTGTCTTTCATAGTTTGCAGAAATATTCCTCACAAAGGCAAGAAACTTGTTTTATACTGCCAAGATATTTTGTTCTTTTTAGATTTTTTACTAGTTAGTGTACATGAGCATTCTCAACCTTTTTGTGTTTCCGCTTTACTAATCTGAGAACTTTTAAATCTGAAGCGTGTTCCCTAAGTTGTTCTTTAATTGCTCCTTAGAATAAAGCCTTTGCATTTAGTTCTAGGCCTAGGCTATCTGTTCTCTGTGTCATATCAGCTGGAGAAACAGCAAGCATAGTTCCAGACGGCCATATGTTTTCTTTTTTGTTTAAAATATCCGCAAGCAGACATTCACTTCCGTAGTTTTGTCTCCGTGGAGGAGCTAGAAGTTAACCGTATTAACCCCTGCGGGCCTTTAAGCCGTATGGAGCAGATGGGGCTGCAGGCTGCCTGAAGCCGCGGTGCCTTGGCTGTGTTGCCCACTACCTCCTTCAGCTCTTCCACTGTGGCATCTCTTGGTTGGTCTCTGCTCCAGTACATACACTGTAAATTCTCTGGGGGAATTTGTCTCTTTACATGTTTGCAAAAGGTGAGTGCAGGGGGCCTTGATCTGGTACTAGGATTCTTGTGCTTCATTACAGTTAAAATTACTAGTTCTGCCTTCCTGGATAATTGAGATCAGATAATTTTTATTTCTTGTGGTGAAGCTAAGGGCTCTGTCATTGGATCCTGATCCCTTCGGGATTGTCCCCCTGCAACAGCAGGTAATCACAAACTAAGTTATGTATTTTTTGTAGCAATTGGCCACTGGCACATTGTGGGAACGGTTACAGTGATACACTCTCATACTACTTTGTTTAAATTACTGGCTTTCCTTTTGCAGAGTCTTAGGGTGATTTACTCATTTTTATGTAGTAATATCAATACACTGACTTCTGGAATGAGTTAGGAAGCTGTCCAACAGTGGTGAGTAGCTGACAATTTAGAAAGGAAAGTGACAATTCCTGTGTCCAATGAAGAAGTGGCTACCAGAGACCCAGCCATGTTCAACCCAAACATATCGGCTTATCTGGATCTACTTATCTTCAGCCATCACTACCTGAACACCTTCCACCTGAAGTACCTAGAACTGTAGGCAGGTACTGTGGATTCCAGCAAGGTCCATGGGTTTTCTGGAATTTTCCTGGACACCCTGGAGGGTGGTCCTGTGGTGGTTTCTTTCAGTGGGCACAATAGTCATGATGGATACATGAGACCTACTCCAAATCAGAAAATCCTGCAGTAATGTGACAATTAAAATTGTATTGCAGCATTCATCCAGTGCAAACTCAAGAAGGAGTAACTCTGACTGAAGGGCTGACATTATTGTTTGCTTTTTTTCTTCTGTACATAAGGTTATATTCTTATTTTCCAGCACTTTTCCTTCTTACAGACTCTCCCAAGTTCCTTGGAGAAGAAACAAATCAAACTGTCTTGGCAATACAAAAAGAAGCAAGCTCTTCTGGCCCCATCTATGTTTGTGTAACCCATGCATGTGTGGTGCTGGTAAATGAAGCACTAGAACTAAGAATGTGAAACATGAATAATTTTTTTTTGAGGAAATATTTTACTTGATTTCATTAAAATAAACAACCATTCTAGAAGTATCTGTGGGAGCAATGTCCAGTGTGAACTTGAATATGAACAGTCTGAGCTCTGTGCTTGGTTCTGTTACTGACCCATGATGTGACTGTGGGGTAAGCTACTTAGCTACGTACCCAAGTTACACGCATGTAAACACTGTCTCTACACTCTTCATATGTCTTGTTTATTAAGATTAATTATGAGCTGGTTTGAATTGCCTACCTGTATGAGCCAAAAAAACTGCCACAAAGTATTGACTGGGAATATTATGACCTAAACATGTCTTAAGGATACAGGCATGAATGTGGATGTACTTTTTAACCTACCAAACTAAGTTCAGGTTTCTAATTCATGGATAAAGGTAATCAACATGGCTGATGAAATGTCAGCCCCCAGATGAGAGAAATGTTCTTGCTCGTTGTTCAGAAAAATGTGGCAAATCAGCAAAGTGGATTCGGTGATTTACTTGTGTTTTCCTAATCTTGGAAGAGGATAATTTATGAAGAAATGAAAAGTCATTTGTAAAGTTCTTGACTGTGGCTCTGGGTTAAGGATTGCTGGTTTTCAGAATGCTAGGCCAGCTTATACAGTGCACTATAAAATCATATATGAAGTCTTAAAGCAGTAATAAGATGTATGTTTTTCAGCAGCAAGGGGTTCATACAAAAGCACTGCTAGACTGTGTGTTGGTTTTGATACCACCAGCGTATGGCTATTGGCAGTTTCAAGCAAAACAGTGTTGCTGGTGCGTTCATCATGAATCCCTGAGTAAGAATTACCAGTGCACGCTGGCACAAAAGGCCATAATTGAGTGTGTGACCCTACGGTCATTTGACGTCTTCTTTGTTTTAGAAGTGTTTGTCTTACTGAAGAGTAGTTTCACTTGATTTGTCCCTATAAAACTTACCTGTGACATTTTGGTGCCATTGAGAATATGGCAAAACAGCCTCTGGACATCGGTGAGACCCAGGCTTTGTGCCAGGATGAGATTTTTAAAAGTACCTGCTTGACCTTGTGTGACACGTGCTACTGTACATCCAGATACTTGGTTCAGCTTGTTCCAGCAGCATGCTGCTTTCAGCCTCTTTGACAGCCATTCCTACGTGACCAAACATGTTGATTCAGGAAATGAGAAGGCAGGTCTTTTCAGCTGTCGTGGGAGAAATTCAGAACAATAGATTAGGGGGGAGGGAAAAGCCCAAACAACTGGACCTAGACCTGTATGGTCGTTTGAGCAACGCTTTTAATTAGTTGTCCACCAGACATGATTTCTGTAAAGGGCATTAGTCTGTTCTCTAGAGAAGGAGTTTTTTGCTCAGTCTAGCCTATTGCACACCACAGAATTTTTCTTCAGCCTTTACATTATAATATTTATTTCCACCCCCGACTTATTTCCCCATCTGAAAAAATGGGGCTGATAGTGCTTCTTTCACCCATGCGGATGGTTTGAAGAAAAACATGTCAGGCAGTGAGGCACAGTTCTCTGCAATGGGGGCCATCGCAGTGCGTGAATGGATCATCCGCTTGCCACCGAAGCTGGCAGCAACTCCCCCATTGCCAGGCTGGCGTTGCAAAATGGAAGGTTGACCTGTGGTTTTTCAGTAACTGGTAGAGCCAAGCCAAGGTTCAGCCAAGCATTAACTGGTTGGAGAACACACGCAGCAGTAAGCAGTAAAATAGGCTTCACATTTTAGGCCTCTTTCACTTTTTCCATCAGCACCTGCAGAGCTGTCAGGGAGGACAAAGCCTTGGGAAGCATTTATGCCGCGTTTCCAGGCTGGTTTGGAACGCGTGGAAAGCCCGTGCGGATACGTGGATAGATACACAGAAGCATATTTGCAAGCACGGCTGTGAGCGGCCGCCCCGGCTGGTGAGCGGCGGCAGGGCGGGGAGCAGCGCGGGGGCCGGAGCAGGTCTCCCCACAGCTGTGGGCCAGCAGCCCCGCGAGGCCGGGGGAGAGGCAGGCGCACCCGGCTGAGCAGCCCAGGGTACCTGCAGCTGGGGTTCAGGTGGGCTCTGGCAGCAGAGAATCGGCAGTTTACTGCACATGGTCGGACTAAATCTTCCCAGAGGGCTCATGAAAGGTGTTGGGCTCACACATCTGGCTGCTTCCTGACTTTGGGGGATGTGCGCTGGTCACTCGGGAGCTGTGTTACTGCAGGACTTTGCTGGAAGTCCTGAGCCTCCGTCTGCTGCTGGCCTGGAGGTGAAGGAGAGGGTGAGTACGTGCTCTGCGGGGTATCCAGCTTCACACTGCTGCGTCTGTATCAGAACGAGAGCATGTGTGACACATGCGATGGGTACTGTCATGGTGGGTGGGTGTTTCACAAGCCTGTGTGTCTGCTCGTAGCACATGCCAGCGTTCAGTTAAAAGAGAAAATCTGGAAGCTGTCCCTAGGAAAGCTACCCAAAGGCAGACAGGGTTTGGTAATTCCTGACGAGGAGGCATGTTAAGTCTTGAGCCTGTAACTACCTACATGCAAGACTCTCCTCCGTGCAGGGCTTTGACTCCCTTCAGGGTCGGCAGCGAGACCTGGGGTGATGCTCCAGAGCCTTCTGTCACCATCGCGTCCTCTCCTGGGGCACTGGTGCATGTGACAGTGAAATGAAAATGTTTTTTTTCTTCTTTCCTTACTTCAAAAAATGTTTTTGTTCATGTTCACTAACTTAAATTTATGTGGAAAAATACAAGGTAGAAGAGACATTTCAAATGCATTACCTATGAACTGCCGTTTTCCTGTGCAAAGAGCTTGTTACTGTTAAGCAAACGAGTGCTAAAATCAAGGTAGAACACTAGTGTGAAAACATTGCTGTAGCTTGGTTTTGTGGGATATATATTAAACTGCTAATATTTTATTCAGTTTCCTCCATAACAGCTTACAGCACTTAGTTCAAATCCTCACTGGTGGACCTTCGTGAAAGCCGTGTGGCGGGAGTGAGGCAGTCGGCAGCTGCTGCGAACGAGCACGGCTCCATCGGCAGTGCTCTGCAAGGGGAGCTAACGCTCATTCCCAGCAGCTGAGATCTGCTTCCTCAATTGGCAGCCTTAAATGAAAGCTAAGGAGTGTTGTGTTTTCTTAAATTGTTGGAGGGGGTTGTTTAATCCTTAAATTTAGACTAGAGAAGGAACTTGAATGAAGGAGCTTTTCTTATACCAGTGAGCAGCAGAACAGAAGCAAATGTTTATTGTATCTGCAATGGTATCAGGTAAAGGCAAACAGGCTGATTGGGTTCACCTGCACTGCAACACCGTGATTTCTGTGCTGTACTGGTTTTACTCTGGTAGGAACGCTATGGATCCTGTCTTATTTTGATTGTCAAATTGTAATTACACTTGCAGAAATTGTATGGGGACCACAGTTTCTGTGTTTGTGTGTTTATATACATACAAAAATATTTGTGTGGATATATATATCTGTAAGTTTAATAGAGGAATTAAAATAGATATGACCTGCTGCATTTTGTAGCTACAATAAGCAACTTGATTACTTTGTGAACCTTTGTTGAAATTTCTATCCATGTGTGAAGTGAAAACTTGAGAAAGCCTTTGCCTGCACATCCTTTTATATTGTAACTTCTAAGAGCAAAGTTAAAACTGCTTCAGGAAAGGGAATTGCCACAGTTCAGCACTTAATTGGGCCTCCCTCTGAGAGGAAAGACGGGAAAAAGATCTATTGAATACAAGGTATTGCTAGATATCTCGTATGCTGGAGAGGAAATTCTAGATGATAACCCTAGATGAGACTGCAGGCTCATCTTGATATATAGAGCTGTCAGTTCCTATTGGAAGCCCCTTACATGTTCAACTTGGGGCAGGCAGGTGGTAAAGAAAAAGGTAAAGGATGCTGTAAATAAATGTATTGGCTTTCCTTGCCTTGGCTTCTTGACCTGTGAGCTTGTGAACTCTAAAGGGTTTACTGCTTCAGTGGGAATCAACTTATAGTCCACCAACCCTGCCTCTAAGAGAAATGGTTGTAATTGGTATCCCCAAACCATCATATCTGCTTCTAGGGAGTCTGTGGCTGAAGGGGAGCGACGAGGAGGGAGAACCTTACGTATCTGGAGGTGGGGTTTTGTCTTTTGAGGGTGCTTTTTTGTAAAGAAGGATTATGGTTTGCAGAGAAATGCTCAAGGAAGCTTGCTTAATACCCATCTGTGGTATGTTTGACTTTCTTTGGTTTCCTGCACTCAGTACTCATGCACCAAAAAGTAAAGTAACTCCTGTGGGAGTGGGAAGGGAAGAGAAATTTCAGGCACGATTGACGTAATCTTGGATATTAAGTATGAGGAGATTGAAGCGCATCCCGGAATGGCTCCTGCTGAGAGGCTAATAGCTGGTCCACTCACCCGTATTACACTGAATGTCTCCAGTTTTCTTGCCAAAACAAGTGGTATTTCCAGTCGTACTCCAAGTAAGGAGAAGTTAAACTGTAACCTCAAACCAGTGAGCTTTAGAGCCAGTGTTGCAGGGGCTGTGAAGTGCTTTTTCTGCCAAGCAGACAGGCGGGGCATTCAGCAGCAACCACAGGCCTGTCAGTAAGTTTGACCTGAGACAATTGTGGCCCCATGGCCAGAGGGGAAGGTGTCCATAAAAATCAAGTGCTCAGCAGGGCTGTGTACATCTCCAGGACTTCAGTTGCCAAGGGTTTTGGCAAACTCTGTTTTTCAGTGTTGGTCTTGTGTGATTCCTTCTCTCTGGGGTTGGCTTTGATTTTTATTCTGATTCTTCTGACACATGGCAGTCAGAAATGGACAAGTTTAGATCCTCAGCTCAACATTTGCTTTCTGCATTGCTATCTTCATTACTAGGTACAGCCTCCAATATATTTAATGCTTAATGCATACAGTATGTACAACTAGGGGGAGGTAATGCTGTATTTACTGAGTTACTCGATCATTGTCTTCCCAAACTACTTCTGATTACTTACCTATTTTACCAGACAGGGTCCCTT